TATATATATATATATATATATATATATATATATATATATATATATATATATATATATGCAAAAGCATTTCTTTAACCTCGCTGAACGAGTAAAAAAGTTCAAGTTAAATGATAATATGGAAGTCTCTTCAAGCTCCTTTTTCCTCCACGCAAATCAAAATTTAGCAAAGGAGCAAATTTCGGAGAAAGACGGAGAAACAGATCAGGTTCCATCCAAAACAAATTTCATAGCTATGTTACAAACCGAACGATCACAAATAACAAACAATCCTCATCATTTTTAAAAGTAGGGCTGACTATGGCATTGAAGTTCCATAAAATATTCAGGGCAGGTTAAACATCAAATGTTGCAACTGTTTAACTTTGATTTTATGAATGGTAACTTGTCTACTTTTTTAAAGTTGCTAGCGTTTGCTCCGTATATTCAATACTACCCGTTCATTCCGGATTCTTTGGGTCATTCAGAACTAATTATCAAAACAGTATATTATATTAAATTGTAAGAAACAAACAATGGATATACCAGTTTCGAAAATTAGTTCATTTTCAGCATTAAATTCGGCATCATAACATTCACAGCCGGAGATGCACTCCGATCCGGTTTTGGACATGTTGATTCCTTCCACATTCCAATTTACTTTTTTTTTGCTCCTAATCCCTTAGCTGCTTCGGTTGGAAGTGACAAACAGTTGTGATCAGGTTGAATCAGCAAATCAGATATCTTGCCGAAAAGCAACGTTTCAATTGGTACTGGAGGTAAGAAGGTAGTAGCGAGGAGAGCGTTTGGGCTTTCATCATCGTTACAACACAAACATCGATCGCTGACTGCAGCAGTACAGAGGATGCAAAAGAAAAATAGTAAGAATGACCCAATTAGAAGTAACAACAACAGAATTTGGAATATGACGGAATCCATTCTAATTTGTATCTTTTGATGAAGCAATTCCAAAAACACATTCTGGAATAAGGGGAAGTGAAGGAATGTTCGTTTAATCAAACATATCCCAAAGAATTTGGCAATTTAGTGCATCATACCTTCTTACTAACAATAAAAACTCATATTAATGAAGGGACATATGGACAATAAATGCTGGATTGATCGATGAATGTCTTCTGATGAACCTTATAAAAAAGATGCTACCAGTAAAACAATCACTTTTAGGAGTGTGCTTCAAGATAAGTAGGTGATACTTAATAGGTTGGCTGGAAAGATTTGGAAAAAGAATGTCTGAAAGAATTGGTTTCTGGGAAAAGAGAGAGTATGACATGGAAATGTATTATTCATTTTGATGGAAAAGTTGTCAATAAATCCAGCAGAAAGGAGTGATAAACAGACATATCAAGAATCACTATGAATAGCATGGAATCATCATCCACAGCATCAGAAAGATAAACATGCGAAGAAAAATGAAAAGATTACGTCCATACTTATCAAATGCATCATCTATTCAGACAAGAATATCACTGCACAGTTATTGTCCGAATATCTGAAAAAATCTTAAGATTATCCTAAACTGAAATGAATTAGTTACGATGGTTCCTAGTTATTCAGCAGACCGAAGTTTATTCCATATTTATTATCGTAGACAGATCTAAGCAGTAATCAACATAAGGAACGATATTGATAACCGAAGTACTGCAACAAGTCTTTGTCTATGTTGCGGATTGTGGTGATTAAGAAAAGACCTATTTTCCATAAATGATAAAAAAAGAAATTAGTTGTTGGTTTCAAAGTAATCAACTATCATCGAGCTACAAAGATAGTGATAATAGAACATGATAGAGAGAACGGAATATTTTCTTGCTAAAATAGTAGAAATTTTCCATCTTTGGATCAAACCAATTTATATTGGCATAGTTGATTTTCCGCACTTGAAGAGTTTTAATTTTGTTGTTATTTTATATGAATATTACCAAAACATAATTTTTGTCCATTACGATAGCGCTCATACAAATCTCATTAAATTCAAATGCTGTTTAGCATTTATAATTCTCGCAAATTACTTTTCTAGAATATCTCATTTTGGATCTGTTTCATCTGAAAAAAATTCTTTTTGGAAATTTTTTTTGCATCAATAACAAGTACATGTGATATGTTGGCAATTTCAAATAAGATCAAATTCCGCATTATGGATACTGATGAAGTCACAACGAATATACGTATATCAATCTCCCGAGATATTCTAAGTTTTGTGAAATCGTCAGAATAAAAAGAAAAAAATACAATAAATGCACTGCTAAATGTGTGACATCTTAGTTGAAACACAGCTCTTTGTTTAACATGACTTCCAAAACGTCAATAAAGTTGGGTACCCGAGAAACTAATATGCAGGATTGTTGAAAAGCTGATCAAAATCTGAGTTCGTTTGGGATTTTAAGATTGCTCGGCTCAATGCAGTAGTCTACAAAAGTGCCAAGTCTGGTGATATTAGGATGGAAGGTCCTCAAAATTGAAGGTTCAAAATTGAATTTCCATCAAAAAAAAAGAAGATTCCAATGAAAGACACTAATAAAAAGCAGCCAACCGGTAGTTTTGGAAAGAAACCAAAAGCTTTGTAAGGAAAAAAGCTAATCTCATCTAGCTTACAAAAAAGGTCTTTTCCTTGTTGCTAACGAAATTTTGAATTTTAACGTCCCTTTTCTCTTTTCTTTGTCTCTGACGTGATGAGATACTTGAAAGTGAAGCTGGGATTTCCCGAAACACCTGTTTCCTCAGCCTTATAAAAGTTATCATCTGCTTTCTTATCGGAACTACCTTTCTTAAATCTTTAAAAATATCAAATGATAATCTGCATTAAAAATTTCCACAGTATTGAAAATTTTAGAGAGGGTAAGGTAGAAGGATCTTTTAAAATTTTCACCAATATGCAAAGATCATGTTTTTAGCCTTTGAATCGGATGTTGACCTTTTTGCTTTCCATGAATATCAACAGTCTCAAGTAGGAACTGCTGACTTCTATTTGGAGAGTTAGGATTTATTCATCCGTACATTTTAATAAATTCAAATTTTGCAAAGAAAATTTGAATGCAATTTTTCTTCGCAAATGGTTCATTTTTCGAAGAATTACTACAGTATGGGAATGATCAACAAGTTTTCAAAGAAAAAATTCTCCTAAAAGCTTCCTTTTCGCCTTTCTGAAATAAGGCAGCAGTAATTAGTCATTTTATCCGCAGATCCCTTCATTGTCTTTTTCGTCCCCATAAAAAACTCCATCGAATGCATTCTCCTTGTTTTCTATGAGATAGAAAAAACAAAAAAGCAGAAAATTAGAAAATTGATTAAAATAATGAATAAGCATATTTCCACGTTTATGAAATGCTTCAGTTCACGTAAATTCACGTCAAACTTCAGCAAAAAAAAATCTTTACCTTTTGATTAAGGGTAATAGTGGTGAACTCTTCCAAACAACAACTGTCATCATTCATCCCTTTCATCTCTTATCATCATTCGTCTGGAATGTTCGAAAAATATTTTCAAAGAAAAAATTCAATCAATTTTCGACGTCAAATATCGAAAATGATTTTGCCTCTACAAGAATTCACAGATGATAAGTGAAACGAGCGAGATGTAAATATACAACAATCACATGTTTTTTTATGTATTTTTAAAAAACCAGAGATTAAAGATAGCGGTTCCTCTGTATTGGATAGGAGAACATGATATTAAAAACGAATGTGAGAGGAAAAATCTTTTATAAGCGGTAGAAGAGAGAAAGTTATGAAACCTACCGGAAGTGCTGCAAATAAAAACCCTTCGATAGTAATATATCGTCCTGTTAACTTTTAATAATATCAAAGAGGGCTTTATTCTGGCTCATTACGAGTAATGCTCAAATTGACAACATTGTCTGAATCAACGAGAAACTTCAGATTCCGAAGTTCTCGACGGTAAAATAATGTCTTTTTGAGAATTCATTTCTCTTAATGAAATAGCGCAAATCACTTAATTAATCCTCGCAAAACCGCTTAAAACTTTCCAAACATTCTGCATGCTTTCAATCTATCCAGCAATCAACCCGATAATTCATGATTTATGCACGATGTATCATCGATGAATCTTGCAGTTAAAGGATTGCACAGCAGCTTACAGTTGTTGAAGAAATTAAAAAACAGAATTCATATTTATTAGAGAGCATTTCATTCAAAATGATAGGTCTCAAAATGGATATGAAAAAGAGCCAAAGGCTAGCTGTAGAAAAACATCAGTTAGGGAGCTAGCAAATTTGTTTTCGGCAATGAATAAAATTTAAAATCAATCAAAAGGAACCAAAAGGGCATTATGAATTTATTTCAGGCAGTGAGATAAGTCGGTCGGTCGGTCGGTCGATCGATCGATCGGTCCATGGGAAGTTTTGAACCAAAAAGAAGGAGTAGCAAAGACTTTACTTAAACATTAAACGTCAAACATTTTTGAGGATAAAAGTTCCAAATTTTAATGAAAGCGGATAATTCAGAAAGGAAAAGAAAATCTGAAGATAGAATTAGCACTTAGCTGCTGCTAGTACCAACTTTAGCTTTCAAACACACGAACACATACACACACGTACACACATACACACACACACACATACACATATACAGACATACACAACATACATATATGCAGAAAGAGAGAAATGCAGATGTATCGTTGAGAAACATGTGTTTCGGTTAGAATGTTAGTTTGCTTGAAGGAAGAAGTAATAGGAAGATGGGTTGAAGTGAGTAATGGGGAATGTTTGTTTGAAATGTTGCTTAACAGCAAGATCGACAAATCAGCTGATGCACCAGGCGGAATTGAAATTCGTTAGCTTAAAATCAACCATTATTAAATTGGCTGCTTATAATTCAAATTATTTAAGATGCTGAAATTAGTTTCATTCCATCTTCCTTCTATTCATTCTCAAATGATGTTGCGATTAGAATAAAACAAACTGCGCGGAATTGCGCGAAGCACATGGAGAAATGGTAGATGAAGTACGGCTCTCTAAGATAATCAAAACTTGAAGAGAAGAAATGGAAGGGAAAAGGAAGAGAACTGCATATTTGAGGAGAGAAATGTTCATTTCATTATTTGCAAAAAAGGGAAGCAATGAACTCAGGGAAATGTCGTCACTGTTTCTCCCAATATTAAGCCTAAGCTTAATGAGTGACTTTTAAGTTAACGGTGCTAACATTCCCATTAATACTTCCATGTCATTGGGGTCAATTAGCAAAAATCACAAGAAAAAGTCAGGCTAAACTGAGTTAAGCTAAGGATAAGAAAATAATGCAAAACAAGTGAGAACTTTAAGAGAAAAAGAGAAGGTAATTGTTTAAGTAACTGGGCAAAAAGCTGAAATCTAGCAAATAGTATCAAAAGTTTTTTTCGGAAGTTGGAAGAATTGAAGGATGTTAAAGAGAGAAAGAAAGAGGGAGGGAGAAATTCGAATAGATTATCAGCTGAAGTAATAAATATGTTTGCTGACCGTTTTCTAACATCTAAAATCTGGAACAGAGGATTAGGGATAACGACAATAACCATTGTATTGGCATGAACATATTTGTTTAAGGGATAAAAACTTCTCAGTTAAACAAATCTGGAGGAACAAAAGATTGAACAATGGTTTGAAAGATACAGAATAAAAAAGAAAAATAAAAATAAATCAAGCATTTTTTGGGGGATATGGTCGTCACTAGATTCGTCAATTGTTGCCATCCTTATATCGTTCTGGTCGTTTAAGCATGCATCACTCTCGTTTTGGACAATCAACTTTAATCATTTAAATCTACTGAAGCTCTATTAAAGAATATTATTAACAGTGATTATGATGATGGTCAAGCTTGACCAAAATAGTAAATGCATCTCAGTCAGTATCACGTTCGTGAAGTTTTTACACATTGATGAATCGGGTCAAAGGTGAACAAACAATCAAATGGATAGAGTGACAAACGAACTTACGCATCATTCCGTACTGCACGGTAAGGGACATCAGTTATTACTAAATTTCGATAGTTAATGCAGTGGACAATTGTTCATATTTTGAATAAGAACTCACAACAAAGACTCCTTTCTTCCAAGAATTTTTTTGATTTTTTTTTCAAAAAAAAGTTCCGCTTCTCGAAAATGAATCCGCAGTTGTGGACAATTTTTGGAACAACGCGGAATTCAAATACAAGCATTTAACATAAACAATTTTCAATAAATGACTTATTATTGCTAGCCAGGTTTACAAGTTTTTGAAAATTGTCTTTCTAATTCACCTGACAGTCTAATTTTTTTAATTTATTTAAATGACTGAGAAAAATGGATTTCAAAATGTGATTTTTTTTTCCAATTTCCCATTCCTAATTGCTTAAATTCTGAAACTACTGGAACCACTTGTTGAGTGGTTTCAAGAAAAAAGACCGGAATATATATTATCATTTGAAACTTTCAATACACATTTTCACATTGGAAGAACCATCATATAAATAAAAAAACAGAACAAAACAAATTATCTCCACGGGAATTCTCGTATGAAGCTTCATTTTGTAGAAGTACTGTGTGTTTTTTCAAAAATGGAATTCAAGGTAAGAGCAAATTTACAAGTATCTATAGATGAAAATTTCCAGTTTCGAAAAATTGCATTTGATCAATCAAAAAGTTCTGTTTTAACTCCAGGTAATTAAACAAGCTTATTATTGAACTTTAGTGCATTAGCTAGCAAGGAAGGACATCTTGTAAATTAAAATCTTGAATAATATGGAATACTTAACTTACCATCAGTAACGTTTTTAGATCGGCATTTTCCAGCGATGGATTTATTGGTGATTTATTAGCGATGCTTTCGGCAGTAAAAGGTGCATCTGTAAGCGCAGCTATCTGATCCAGTGAGGTCAAAATCTGTAAGTTATTGTTATCAGGACTGGAATTAATAACTCTCGGACTAGTTCGCCCCGTCAGTTAGCAAAAAGTCTCGTTCAAGATTCAAGGACCAATCGACAGCTCTATTTCCTTAGATTTGTTCGTCAGAGAATGAAAATCTGCAGTATGAAAATTAACATAATAGCAACGACCGACTCATTTTACATCACTCAAAAATGAACAAATAAATTAAATTTTGAGCTTTTGACCATCTCATAAGTGGTAAAATTCGGGATACAGTAGAAACAGAAGTAGAATAGAATCTCAAATCAGAAGTACTCCGCTTGCTACAGTCGCCTAATTCATTATCGTTCTCCTGAATTTCCAAGATAAATTTGTCTTATTTACAAATCTTCTATGTAATATTCCGCCTAGGAGTTCAATTAGCTCTCACACGTTCACTTCTGTGCGAGAGTGAGCATGTGTTTATTTTCAGCATTTCACCAAAAAGATTTCAAATTAATGGGGCAAATTTAAAATTTTTAGCAAAAAAAATGTTACTAGTGGACTTTAGAATAATTAAGATATCCTCATTAGCTGAAAATCTGATTTGCTCTGTTCTCTCCATAATTTTTTCTTTTTTTTGATATTATTAGATGCCCGAAACAAATCCACCTGTATTAGTTGTTTGAGTATCTCTGACAGATTCGAAGGTGAAAAATCATTTGATGATAATATCTACTAATATTTGATGCAACGGTAGGATGAAGAACTCAGGAATAATGAAACATAAACCAAAGGATTTTTAGGATAAAATCCCTGAAAACTCACATCCACAAGAATCTAAAGGGTTTAAATGAAGCTTAACGAAGGTAGAAATTAAAGACTGTCGGAAATATTTTGAATTTAAGATGCAAACACATAACATTCTGTCTGGAGCTAACGGAAAACAGAAGTTATGTAAAATATTCATGAATGCTTTGCGCAAATTGTCGATCAAAGCAAATATATCTTTCTCAACCGAAACTCACTTGTGCATCAAGAAGCGTTCAGATTTTTCTGGAAATTGTTACGCCTGCAACAATGCTGGCGTGTCGCAAAATTAAGATTACTTTCAAATATTTATTTCATTTATGAAATAATGTACCTTTTCGACGCCTGACAAATCCTTAGGTATTACTTGCTCTGTACCACGTCTTGTACAACCATCCGCGTCGCACGTATCACCACCGGGTAGCAGATCACCACTGACCACAGCATCTGAATGTACTGCAATTGCGGCAGCACTCGTGCCCGTACCAGTCGAACAACTACACCCTTCCATCCACTTCTTGTTGTTTACAGCCGATAATATATTGCTCTACAATGAGGTCCATCTATCAATGCACAAATCATTTCGTTTCCGCTACATTTACCGCTACACAAACTTGAATCAGAAATCTCTTCATATGGAGTTTTCCGACAAATTAGATCTCGATTTCATCAACAAGCAAAGTCAAGCTGTCCAAAGTAAGCTCGGAATGGCTTAAAGACTTCAAGTAAGCCGAGAGACTGTCTCTTCCGAAAACCGTCAACTCCCAGCCACCGACAATCTATCAAGGGTAATTCTTCTAAGCGGTTTCATGTCCATCATCGTGAACTTTTCGGCAAAACACTACTTGAACTTATTCAAATACTCAAACTTTACTGAAATTATTCAAAGGCAGATGAAATGAAATAAAAATAGTACACCAAAACTAGTAACCAGTTAGTTACAAGTTTTCTGAGAGGCATAATCCATTCTACACACAGCGTAGTAAGCAAGCCGTAAGTGCGATCATAATACCTCGAGGGACGTTTTTTCTGTCCATTTTCACCAAAAGTACTTCTTTCCCTTATATGTTTGATAATTGTAACGAATTTAACATATCAACTACGAATTCTTTAACTTTTTTTAAAAACAAATTATGACTTACTTTCAATTTTCGACGCGCATTGTATCTTCGAATTTGTTCCACAGTACTTTGCAAATGTCTACGAGGGGCAAAGCGACTACGTTCACGCAACCATTCATGATTTAAGGCACCTTCTGCAGATATCCTATTGCTTGGATTCACGGTAAGCAATCTGATCAGCAGATCCTTCGCCGAATCGCTAATCTGTTGCCATGTCCCACCGTGATGCTGAAAATATTCACTATCAGTAGAAGTATATTTTTGAATTCGAATAAGTTTTTTGAAAAAATCTTGCGAAAGATAAGTTTGAATATATTCTAATGATAATGAATACAGTAATTAATAAAAAAGAACTTAATTTTATCCATCCTATCTTACAGGAAGAACAAAACAAGAATAACACAAAATTTCTGTTAAGATTCTGAATATACACATACTGAATATCTTCCCTCGGTGATACCTTCATATATACTCTGCCGAGTGCCAACAAATGGCAAACGTCCACAAAGAAGTATGTAAAGTAGTACACCAGCACTCCACATATCAGCTTTTGTGCCGTATTCTGCATCACTTACTACCTCGGGAGCCATAAAATAGGACACTCCTACACGGCCTGAAATTCTGTTGTTAGAATAATTTTCACAAAACTCACTAAAATTTAAGCATTTCGTGAACAAAGAACCGAAACCTACCAGCTCGAACAGTTGCAGCTGCGGCAGGCAATTTCATAGAAACACCAAAACCGGTCAGTTTCAGAGGCGCTGAATTGTCTTTACTGCAAATTACCATTAATTACTAGTAAAGTTTTGAAATTATATATTTCGAAAATGGCTATATAATAAAAGAAGCAGTAGTTATACAGAAGGTTTGAAATAGCCAAAAGATATTGCCTTGCCTTGCAAGAACAACGTTGTGTGGCCGAATATCGCGATGAATGATCCCTTGGCTGTGCATGTATTCTAGTGCTTGCATTAGTTGTCTCATGTAATGACTGTAAATTTTTAGGATAAAAATTTATTCTTCTATGAAAAGTAATACATAAATATTGATAAAAACTAAAATCTCTGGACTACAGTACATAAAATGAATGTGCAGAAAATTAGCAATGATAAATCTATTACCGTTATAAAAAAGCATATGAATGGATAAATTAGTAGTATATATTAGTAGTCATTAATATATTTCCCATAACAAATTACAGTAATATCAAGATAAAATACAACTTCGTTATCTAGCTTTGGCTATATGTAAAGCAAACTATAAGTTTCATGAAAGTCATTCCTTCATTAACAATAACACTTGCAGCTCTAGTGACTGAAATGGCCGGACACTGAGTTTTTATCGTATACGTAGAATTTGGAGTGAGGCCAGTAATCAGTACCATTGAAATTGCAAGCACTTTCATTCCATTAATTGTGATCCAACTAACTGTTTTATAGTACAAAACAGTTTTTTTTAAATTTAATTTGTGCGTGATTTGATTGAAACAAGCCACAGCAATAAAAACATCCGATTCATTCCCCCCTTTTTTTGGTAAAATGTTTCACCTGGCAACAGCTTCACTATAAACAAAACCAGCACTGGCTCGTTTAACAATTTCAAAGCATATGTCATCACCATCGAGAAATTCAAAAACCATATGAACAGCTTTTTCACCAGCTATTACATCTTTCAACTCACACAAGAATGGATGTTTCAGTACTGCACAAATTTCAATTTCATTGTCCACATCTGGAAATCTGCTACCATAACGATCTGCATTTGTTACTTACCAAAATGATCGGGACAACATATTTTTATTGTAAGTTTGATTGGATTTATGACAAGTCACAGTCCAGCCAACCGTTAATAACAAATAATTGAAATAATATAATCGAAGGATGATAGAGGATATAACAACAAAATGGAAGAAGGCCAACCTGTTCGAGTTAATCCTGAAGTGACAGAATACTTTTGCATGTCGATGCTTTTTACCGAATAAAGCTTCGAAGTTATACGATGTACAGCACGATAAACTGTGCTTAACGGACCACTGTAAATAAGGAAATAATGAAGCACGAAAGGGGACATTATATTATCTTACAGAAATTATACATTAGTTAATTAGTGCTATCATATTGTAGTATGCTTCTGACAAAATATCCTGAATAAATTTCAATTCATCGACACTAACTACTAATAGACCCAAACCGATTGACTATTAATCCTTCGAATTCTAAACTTTCTTCGTTTCGAATTAATTACTTGTAGTAAGTTATCACTTAATCATCCGATACTGACTGCTTTCGGTTGTGATAACATTCATCGTTGCAAATTTTCATGGGAACTTTCAGTATGATTGGATGTTTACAACAAATTTTGGGAAGACTTTTTTTTTAAAATACATTTAAGAAAATGAATTACCGTTCGATGACGTCCCCGAGTTGGTAATGATGATTGAGCAGCACTGTTTCTTCGCTCAAAGTCCATGGTTGCCCCGCATACATTACTTAAAACGGCCATCCAGTGGTCCCTATCTCTGAGGACAAATGAGCCTTAGGTGTATCAGCAACAGGTATCCAATACACGCGTGTACATACAAATTATCACAGAGGTAGTAATTCCTTCTGATTCCAAACCAGTCTTTAATAACAAGAACTTCTGAAAATTTGTTTCGAAAATAAACGCAAATTAGAGAGTAGCCAATGCCCAAGTTTACGTTGCATAATGGTTAAATTATTAAATAAAAGCTTTCTGAGACAACTATAAATATTACGATTTTCAATCGAGAAATATTCATAACTCAGCCAGAGCTATTATAATCATTAGAAAAGACAAGCCTTGGCTTTCTTGCATCATTTGTAACTGTATTAATTACAACACAATGGCAATAAAACACCATGTCAAATTTATTATACAATTTTACTGGCTAGTACAACTAATTATTTTGGACTAATTACTATGCTCTTCAAAAAAGGATATAAAATAAACCTGAAAATTTAAACCATCCAAGCACAGAATTAATAAGACTTAATTATTAATGCCATTCCTTAAGGAAATCTTACTGACCTCGAATTTCTGTTCTTTTCAATCCAGAGTTTCAACAAACTACGCAATCTTAAAACAAACGAATAAACCTGTGCGTGGATTTACAAAGCAAGCTGTCCTGAAATACCTTAAGTGAACAACAACCCTACTTATCAACACTTTTTTTTGTCATTACTAATCATATGGCAGTTCAGTAGCAAAATGTATGACAGTTCAGTAGTAAGATGTTTTTCTTTCCTGAAGAACATCTAGCAAATCCATTCATGGATTAATCCAAAAACAATGCATCGCTGTTCTGTAAAGAACTCCGTTCTGACTTTCACTTTAAATTAGTCTCAAATAGTGGAGATAAGATATGCACCCGAATTATATATTTCTGCATAACTGAATATCTTCATCGATTGATGAAGCTACTCGAATGCGAGTGTTAAAAAAAGACTTGATTGGTTTTTGAAGAGTAGATGGATCTCTTTCTCCACCAAATTTATGATGTTATAACTTTGGGAGTAGTCAATAAAAAGGCATATAGAAAATATCTAAGTCGAGAAAATTTGTAAAAAGTGCTGAAATGGCAGTTTTACGCTATAGTTAGTAATGACTGTCGCAATGAAATAAAAATCACATCAACAATAAGTTTTATTTAAAGTTACCCGAATTCTAGAACATAAAGACTTCGAAGTTTCATACTGTTGAGTTTCAAACTACATACCACAAACAAGTTTCATACTATTTGGCATTGTCAACAGTAAATGCAATAATTCCTTATAATGATTCTTTCTTTGTATAAATGAGTAAAAATTAGTGATCGATCTTCTTCTGTGTTCAGCATAATTTACAATAACAAGTAATATCCTACCAGTCCTAAAGTATTATTAATGATATTAAGTAAGAAAAACAACGATTTAGTGACTGACTATTCATAATTCAATGGGAAGTGAGATCAGATATCTTTCCTTCCTTCTTCTCTGGTCTATTTTGGCATTAAACTGTTTCTTCATAAACCCTCCCAACTCCCAGACGCTATCTAATCAATTTTCTGATTTTTGCCTACATGGATGACTTTTATTAAAGCTTCGTAATATATTTCTCCTGCAGGTATTTCCGAGTGATTGGAATTGAAAAATCCCAGTTTCATCAAATCCAAAGTCAGTGGATGCGCAAGTGCAATTGCACTTTAGTTGTCACAACATTTCAGTAAATCCATTGGGTTATCGTCAGAAAAAAAGCCACACTTTCCCTTTTTTCTACAGGCGGTGATCGAAATTCAGAAAGTGGCTTTTGGACGAACTTCTAATATTCTAAATAATGCAATATACAGTATGCAAAAGCGCATAATTTTCATTCCAAGACTGCCTAAAAGTATCCTTTGTACTGTATAATACACAGTATTTCCAATGAAAATATCCACAGTTTGCAGTAATTTTTTTCTAAACATTCCATGACATCAAATGTCTCAGTTAATTAAGAAAAAAAGCCAAAGTTGATATATTTCAGGTGGGAAGATGATTACAATATGCAGCGAAGAAGTATTAAAGCTTCAGCTTTTCACTGATGGATCGTTATACAACATACTTCTCAGATTCAACCTTTATTTGAAGGGAAACACAAATGTCTTCACAAATATCTTCAAGGATGATACATCTTCAACAAATTAATTAGATAATCTGCAAATTCTAAATAGTTTTTGCAGGCTGTTTCAAAACTTACATTTAAACAAATACGGAAAACGCTTTGTGAACAAACATTTTTCGATGGAAACTACCGAACGATTTTTCGCAGTAATGAGTAACGAGGGAGGGAATCTGAAATTTGAAACTATGAAGGATTATCTCTCTAAAATCCAATTTGATCGAGTAGAACGACAAATTAACAAGGCCTCTAATTTCCTGATAATCCTTTCAAATAAATCTGTGCTAAAAAATCACAATGTAAAAGCACTGATATGGACATATCTGTGTAAACTGAAAAACAAAAAAAAAACTAAATAGTTAAATAATCTCTCTGGAATATTTTATCTCTCCGAGCAGTTGTCGCTGATAATTTAAAGGAATAAACAAGTGAGAAAGAAAGAGAGAGAGAGAGAGAGATAACAAAATATTCAAAAATACTAAATAGTGGTCCTAAACAAAAACAAATCAGCAAAAACTCTAAATGATTAGTAATTGATGAATAATCGGAACTAAAGTAAAGGGCAAAGAAATACCTATCGAAATCAAAGTTAAGTTGGTGGTCTATGTGAATCGAATAATTCATTTTAAAATCCATAAACAAAAACTTTCCCACTTATACATAGCTGAAACAACTTCAGCGATAACAATGCACACCAAATCCACTTTCTTTAAGGAATTTAAAAAATTAATTAAAAATGAAATTCGACACTACCACTGCATACTTTCAAACTTCGCCACCTAAACACTGCTCCATTTTCCCATTCTTTTTCCCTCAACCTTCCTTATTTCGATGTTTTTTCAAATTCCATATTTTTATTAAATTTAGAAAAAGAAATAATTTTTGTTCATTGGCATAAAAACACCTGCGGAAAATTGGAAAATAAAGGGCTATAAAATAAGCCCGTGCCATTTTAGGTATACCAGCTATCATGTTTCCTTTTAATCCTTTGCCTCTCCTCTTTTTTCCCCACCAATTAAATCCTTCCTCTGTAAATGATATAATTTTGGGTAATCAAGCCTAAAAACCGATACATTCCAATTTTCTAAAAGCCAATTTGCTAAAAATTCGAAATTTGTTTGAGATTTTCACATTCACTTCATTTCTCAGTGTTTCTAATCATATAACCATAAGCTCTTCTTGCGCTGTCAGGTCACTTCATATTTAATTTATTTCATAGCTTTCTACACTTTGGTTTCTACACAATCGTTTACTCATAGCAGCAGCACTACATTTTGAAAATTCTGAAAATTCCGAGAAATTTCCGAGAAATGATTCCAATACACTTAAAGTTTTTAAAGTTCCTTTGAAAGTTCTAAGTAGTGAATTAAAATCAAAGAATAGACTAAGAAATGTGGAATGTTCAAAATGAAGAAAGCCCAACAAAATGTAAACTTGTGTTTATCAAGGAATGAAGGAGAAGAAAGAGAGAAGAGAAAAGAGTTGCTGGTTGTTGAAGCATGATTCAACTGGTTCTTTTTAGTATCACTGAAACAGAAGTAAATTCGAATTCCATGAGTGGACTGTGAGATAAAAAACAATCCTGATCTTTCAAATCAAGCTTCGAAGGAAGCATGTAATTTCAGATTGCATAAAATGTTGAAAATTCTCAAGAAATTTCAGTATTCTCGATTATTTTCAAAAATTTCCTGATATGACTTTATTTACGGATAACGGCTTCTATTGAACATTGAAGTGACATATTTTCCTCAGCAACGTCTCAACAGATACAGACAGGGGTACCCTCAGAGATCTAATTTGAACTGGACAGAAATAAGTCAACCATTGTTAAGATTTCATCCTCCCTTGAGATAGATTGTCCTGCTTGATTCAGATGTAAAGGATAATGAAGAAAAGCCTAGTAAAAAGCGACTCAGAAAAGAACTAATTAGATATGAAATATTCTTGCGCCTACGTTTTGTGGCAGTGATGATTCTTGCATCTAAATTATCGAATATGCATAAAGCTAACAATCTTCAGAAGATACGGAAGACAGAAAGTTTGTAGCAGCGATCCACAGAGTGGTGATTTGCGCCACACTGAACTGTCTTAATGTCAGTTGCTATCATTACAGAAAAATATGTAAAAATCTCCCTTTTTTCTCTGTCTTCTTCTCCCCGCCTTTGCTCTCCAATATTCCGGTGCTACAGACATAAAATTCGAGATTTTCAAAAATATGTTTTATGTCTGATAAGCAGAGTTCTGGTGTTTATTAGGGAAAAAAAATAATTGGAAGATTTCACTTTCGAAATCGCCTTAACCCTCAATTTCAATTAAACCCTCACTTCAGTATTTAAAATGAATCGGATTCATATTTCAAGTTGAATTTTAAATCAAAGTAAGTCATTTTCAAATTATGTAAGTTATTTGGGACACATATTTCTAAATTTTGTCCAATTGATGGGAAACTGTAGAAGATTTGATACCTATAATGTCAACATTTGATATCTGTGATGTTAGTCATTTATTCAGAGAAATCGAATTATATTCAAATGCTGAATTTAGTGTCTCAGTAAGATCTATACTACAATTGCCCAATTAATGCTATAACCAAATCATAAAGAATGGCTAGTAATTTATATTCAGGCGGTAACCCTCATCTCACATCTCAGTACGTTAAGATATAAATCTCGAGGTAGTGACTAGTTTTATCCATAACGACTGGTGGGACATTTGAATGATATGCTTCTAAAAAAGGTACACACAGAAAAGAGGAAACAAAATAAAAACTTCGTCATTTTGCAAAGAGATTTTACGAAGAATGAGATGAAATGAGTATTTGCATTGATGCATAGAACGTATAGAAATTGTTCAACAATAAAGTGGAACAAACTTCCTCACTTCTTCTCACTCAAATTATCACTATTCTTCCAAATGAAAGGAAGTCGTATTGTGAAAAGAGTTTTTATTGTAAAATTTCCAGTAACAGAGTGAAATTAACCCTAAATTATAAAAAGTAACAAAAAACGTGAAATGTCTTGACGTATGCAAAAAGTTTACTTACTTGTAAATATTTATCATTTAATGAGAGACGCAATCAAATAACAAAAGATTTCACTTAACTAGTTTAGATTTCGAAAATAATTCAATATTTGAATCTATTTTAAGATAGCAAAACGACGGAAGGATGAAAGAGGAACGAAAAGAATTAAGGTGATAATAATAATTATTGATATGATACTTCCAGCTAAAAGAGAGAAATGAAAGGCAATGTAAATAATTTCAGTGTTGAATTTGGCACTTTCTAATAGTAAAGAATGGAAAATCGCACAACCTGCGAGTCTCATCCACCATATGATAAAAGGGGAATAGATAACGGGAAGATTGGGTGGAAGAATTTCAGTCTTCCGGATCAGGTAACATAATATGTTGATGTTGTTCTGTTAAATGAAAAGATGTAAAAGTTTTCGGATATTCTTTCATGCTTTTTTACAGAGTGAAAGTCAAATGAAATTTACTTACCACTCGCTTCAGAGGAATTTTCTTTTGAGGAGAAAAAAAAAATGTCAAAAAATAAAAGTTCCTCAAAGACGTAGAAGGGTTAAAGTCATTCTCTAAACAAAAACACTTGTGCTTGTCCTTTTCCCTTCTTTTTTGCTCACGAATTAATTTTCTCAAAAACAATAATTGGAAAAAAATGGGACAGAAGATAAGAAAATTGAGACGCTTATTGGAGTATGGTGGCAATAATATGATATATTGTCATATAAATTCCAAATAACCGATGTTTCTAAGGGAAAAAGCTGGCCAAAGTTGGTCTGAAAAATGCTGATTCAGTGGCTGGTTGGTTTGTCAATAATTTCATCATGAGAAATCGGAAGCGGAAGAGCCATTTGGATATAACCAATAGGACATGCACATTTTTAGCATCACAATTGGAAATCGTTAATAAATATACGCACATAAATTACTACATTAAGAAGGATTCACAAGTATTACGCAGCATTTCAAAGCATACTACTGCTGAAAAGAATTAGAAAAGCTAAATGAACTTTCAGAAACTAATTAAGACTGAATAGATTTTTGGTAAATATCTGATAGAACAAAATAATCAAATAAAAAGTGACCAACGGAAGTGGCAAGTATTGTCTTCTCTCCCTTATTTAAAGTTGCAATAATAACCTGGTATTAACGCAAATGCCTGTTTACACATATACATAGCAATTATTAATCAAGCAAAAAAAAGACACTTTAAAAGAAGTAAAATGATGTTAATAGGTGCCAAGAAAGCACCGATTCAACCTTAACTTAGTAATATGAGATAAGAAACAAGATAAAACAAATATGAGATACAATACAACATCATCATGATATTCTTTTTCCCCCCTAAGCTTCTCCAGCTTTCGAATCTAGCCAGTTCCATGCTAAGTCAATAATCCTATTCAATCCTTTCCTTGAGAATTGAATATAATGATGCCAAATCAACAAAAAATCCCTAATATTCAGGAAATTTATATTCTCTAATCGAGAATCAAACTTGTTCTATTAAAGTTAAAAGCATCAACTAGCTAAAAACACAAAGGAAGAAACAAAAATGAAAATGTGACAATTGCTCCGTAGGTCGTCAATGCGTTGTGTATGCCTTGTTGAATGATGTTTAAACAAGCAACACAAATAACGCCTGGTGATGGGACTAAATGTCGTTTATATAGCATTGAAATTGTGTTTATATTGCGATAAAACATGTCTTGCATTGAAGAGCTGTCTCTACTGGGACTTTTCAACATTAAAACCATTATGAAACAACAAATACCTTTTTGATCTTATTTTCTAATCATAAAATGTTGATATTAGCGCTCTCAAAAGATGGATTTAACATAATTGCTATAGTGAATAGATGAAAATAAAGGTCACTTATTCTTTCTTTATTACTTTTTTCACAAACAATGAAACGGTAACGCTTTCCGTTGTTGCTATGTTTTGTTGAAATTATTTCTCAAAAAGAATCATCTTCCACGGTTATATTGCTAACTGCTTCATAGGTTCAATTAACCATCCATACATACTTGTGGAACTAAGTTTAATAATTTTGCTCATTGCCACTTTGCTATTTCCTAGAAGTTAGGAAGATCATAGTTTAATCATTGTTGTTACTAAATGGATTGAATGAATTTTTAACAAAATGAAGTGATTATGAAGAGGTTCATTACAGAAAATGGCTGGGATGTATAAGGAATGTATCTTAGAAAGCATAAAGTTGAAATATTACTTGGAAGGTTGACGAAACAAGCGACAATAACTGTAACTTATAACTAATTAAGTATTAAGAGGAAGTTGTATTTTGTAACATCTGAAACATATAATTGAAAAATATTAAAGTGTTGCTTTTCAAGTCCATGCTTTTCAAACTTTCTCTGATTGCTTTATGTGAAATAACTGCGATGTACGATCATAATGGATGAAATAAATGAATTTATGGATACAACAAATTAATAACTGCTTTTGATGATAATATGTGAAAACCAACTTTGAAGACAATAAACTAACTTTGAAGATCTGAGTAAAAAATAATAGGTGAATTTAATAAATACAAAAAACAAGCAGAAAAGTACATAGTAAATAAAATGTCAACAGAAAGTGGACGCTATTGGTTCCAGTAAATGGCAGCAGGCTTAAGTACGTACTTATCATTTTTAATGGTTTCTTGATGTGAGATGCTTTGTACAGCCAGCTCTCTTCCTTTTTCCCCTAGATGATACGAAATAAATTGTTCTTTCAACTTTCCAGCTGCCCGACTCTTTCCAGCTGCCCGACTGTGCCAAAGACATACAAGCTTACAACAAATCCGGCATTGGGACAAATGCAAATTTTGAGCAGTACGGAATGGCAAAGTTTGATGGATAAATATATCGCAGCGATCGATATGGTTTGCAAATATAGTTTAACCAACTTTAAAGCGCTGGATAAGCATATGTGACAATTTTTTTGCTCAGCGAATTTAGTTTTCTTCCTATCAGCATTTTAATCCTTTTGTACCGTCAATTTTGAATATTGGATGCATCAGTTGCTACTTTAACCAATTCATTTATGTAATACATTGAAGGTATTGCAAGCACCAAAATTCTCACTATTGAAAATTCCTCAATTTGAACTTCCACCTCTGACCCCACAGACAAACAACAATTTTTCGACGCAGTCTTTCTGGGAATGATGAACTTACCTTTTTTCCCGCATTCTCCCTCATTTTATAAACATGTGTAGCAACATCGTCGGTAGTCACATAACTGTACATTACTTAGGCAACAGTAAATTCTCAATCTAATGTAAAAAAAAAAAACTGAAAATTCCTTTCGGATCCTACACACAATTGACAAGACTCTAATTGCACAGCATTCCGGAAAAGTCATCTCCGGAATGCTGTGCAATTATCATATATATTGTGCACATACGTTACTTTCTTCATAAGATTCGGTTCACAAATATTATAGGTGAATAGATTTGATAAAAGAATGAATGGCAATGTTCGCCGAAAGTCATGTGAGAAATCATGTGACAAACACATATCCTTTAATGGTCACATGAGCATTTCCATGTGATATATTCATATTTCACCGTTTTATTTTAGGATAACCGAATTGGTACAATCAAATAATGTACTATAATTCATGCCATAATCTTCTGACAACAGCAATAAGTAAGTAAGCACTACAGTTTCAGATGAAACAAACATCAAACCATGGATGAATGTGAAAGAAGAGGTACTGAAAGGATGGCCATTTGACAAATTTTTTAAATCCACAGTTTGTTTACAAGTGGCGCAAAGAAGCGGTAATCAGATGGGATAGAAAGTAAAATATTTTCGAAGTGAGAGTCTCCGAAGTGCAGGATTCAAGATTCTTCTATCTGATGATATGGTTTGAGAAAAGAGAGAAATAGGTTTATAAACTTGAAGAAATGCCTCTTCCGGTTCACTCAAAGGAAATGAATAATGGAAAACAATAATTCTGGTTAGCGATAATGAATGTTAGCTACTGGACAATATTTCTGTCTACCAAAAATTACAATAAACCAATTGCGAAAATATAGCACAAATATGCACTCTTTTGTGCTTCGAAACTGCATAGTAATCTGAATTATTTTTAATTTGTATCATTTCACTTGTATTTTTCAAACATAAATCACTGAATTGTCCTCAAGTAAGACCCAGTTAATGAAAATTTACTTGCACTATTCGATTACGACCAGGTCTCGCTTTTCCTCTCTTTCACCATATAAAGTGCTAGTGTGAAATTTAAAATGAGTTTTAAATTATACTGTTGGAAGTCTTCCGCCAGATTTTCAGATGATAATAACAAAATTCTCTGGAAATACTTTTGGTGAAATTGTTACTAAGTTTGTGAGCGTAGCTATGAGATACAGACGGAAAAATATATAAAAAATAGGGGTCAATAAGAAAAGTTGCAGAGAGTAAGAAAAAAAATTGGAGAAAATGTCGTCGCAGAATGTAAGCTCTCTTTTCGGATGAAAGCTTACATTTTGCGACAACATTTTCTCCAGCTTCTACTTAAGTAAAACTTCATGAAAGATTCAACAAGATACGATAGTAAGATGAGTGATGCCAAAAAAGCAGACAAATTATGAGGCAAGACGAACTGCAACCATGAGGGTCAGATTGGGAAAAAGCTAAAAAATTGCAGTGGTCATTCTTATATGCTGCGAGCTCACAAGCCACAGTATGTTTGTTTAATAATTAATTTATTGATTGGTATGAGTGTTTTTAGGCATTTGATTTTCCTCTAATGACTCCACAGGTGACACATTGATTACGAACTAAGTAAAAAAAGGAAAGAAAATCTTTCTAAAACCCATATATCAGTAATTTCCATGTCAAAAATAGAACTTTTCAACTATTCACCTACAATCGCCCTTGCGTAGAAATAGCCAACGACTTTTTATCGCTTATTAATGAAAGATTGAGCGATGAAATCTGTCGCATCTGAAATAACTGCTAGGATTCATGTAAGCCATAAAAAAGAATGTTTCGATGTAAACTAATTTTGTCGTAATTGCCGTAGTTTGCTTTACATAATTTTGAGAAGATCTGACTTAAAACAGACACAGCATTCTCACTTTAAATAATTGCGCAGTGTCAAAGCTTGGACACTGCCACATTTTCTTCAGCCTTCTACTCAAGTAAAACTTTATGAAAGATGGGTCTAATTAAATTCGACAAAACAACGGCAAGACAGATAAATAAATGTCACATACATCGAAGATCAGGAAGACAAGACACAATGCAGAACATCACGGTGAAGTTCAAAGATGACCCGGTATGTAAATCTAAGGTAAACAAATCGGCTGTTAAATACAAAATCACTAATATGAAGATGTATTTTGGCTTGTTGAAATAGTGAAACAGAATAAAAATGTCTCTCCATGAGGAATAAAGAAATGTACTTTTGTGGTAAACGGAAAAGGAAGCATTTATTTGTTAGTGCTGGAGTGATTCAAAAGTTGACGTTGAAAATATCTTCGGATTAAACAACTCACTAAAGTAATTGAGTGAAGAATGTAGGAGAGGAATGAGGGACGAAATCGCCCATCGTTGTTTCCTTTCTCTTGATCATAAATACTGATTTTTTTTCTATAGGAGAAGGTAGGGTTCCTGCTAAAAGTAGCCATCTCACAAACAATAATATATGTCGATGTGATGTCAATAATAAAAGTAAAAAGGTTGAAAGAGAAGGCTACCAGGAGAAACTCGGGGTCGGCATTACGCATCTGGATCGATCGTATGCAAAGACGAATGCCTGCCTTCCACCTTTCCATACTCTTTCGCAAGCTTAACTGAACTGGCTATAGCAATGACTATACTTGTCAGCCCTACCTTTCTTTCTTCCTGTTTCTCAACTGTGGCATTATTTTCAGACTAAAAAACGCTCTATCAATAATGCTTAATTTCAATTTGACAATAATGAAACATATATTTGTGAAATCAAAAAAGTTAATATTTTGACGAACAAAATATCATAATTTTAAGGATCGAAATTTTTAATGAGAAATAAATTTATGTAAACAAATGTATTCAACATAGCATTGGTAATAAGAGGTGTGAAAGAAGCAATTCATCTTGGAAGTTCGGACAACGAAATAGTTGATCCATGCCTGAACTATGCGAAATAATTATTGTAGGCTTAGGTTGTTATCCATCAATGCAGGCGTGGAAATCACTGAGCCAATCTTTCATCTTCGGCAAATCTTTTTTCTTTAGGAATCAAGAAATGTATACAATCAATTTTTTTTTATTCGGGAACTAACGGTTTGTCTACAATGGATAGGTACAAATTTTATAATGGATACATAACAGATTTCAGCAGGATATTAGGTTGAAATTAGAAAGTGAAATGGCAAGTAGTATCATTAATATTATTCGTTTAAACTGGAACTTAAAAAAAAGATAATACAAGCGGAAATGGATATGAATTAAATGGACTACGAATCATCGAATCTTGAACTTCTACATACATTCTACAATGTATCAACACATGAAATGTCTTGCATATATAAATCTCATTCTTGTGTATATAAATCTCACTTTTAAGTTAAAATGGTTGATGGATTAGAAAGAAGATAGGTGAAGGAAGTGGATAAATATGGATATTGCGCACGGAATAGGTTTAGTGCAAGGATTTGGGAACCAACTGATTTTCAAGTTCATTCCTGACGACATGAACTTGGATTTGTTTGGTTGAAAGTAAGTTAATCCCATATCATTCCAAATAATTCTATTTCAGGTTAAAGAACTGGTTTTTCTTTTTTTTACTATCGTCAACTGGCCGAGAAAACAACTCGTATCCCAGATAAGTACATGTAAATAATAACTATACATACAACTAATTATGGTAAATGAATTCATCATAGGATTTCAGTACCACCCATTAGTGTAATTTATTTTTCAGTAATTCAAATGGAAAGAACAAGTTGAATAGATGGAATGGACAGTAAAGAGTGAAAATCATCCGTAGAATGAAATAAGTGACCGTTCGGAGATTAAGGCAATAGCACCAAGTGGCTGGTCATATAGGAAGAGAGTCGAATAGTTGAAGTAAATAGAAAGCATAGCAGAAGAGGATATAGCAGTGGCAACTATTAATTGAACCTCTTCCACATCCATTCATAAACACATGCAGCTGAATAGAAATCAATAATTTCGGTTAAAACAATAAAAGAAGGGAAGGATATAAATGACAATGGCTAATATCCTTCCCTTCTTTTATTGTTTATTGCTTTGCTTAATTTTCAGTTCACAATAAATGCCAGGTGCATCGCTCTTAGAAGTGCAATTACACACTGACAGATGATTTCCGAATTTTGCATAACTGTAATCGAAATGATGCACGAGAATTCCGTGCAGTACTTCCGTGAAATCTGACGTCAGATTGACGTCGCATGACCAACTCTTGAGACATGATTCATTTAAAGAAATGAAGGTCCAATACGCTGAGCACTTTTAATATGATGGATTTATTGCTTATTAATTTAAGATTAAAAAAAGTAGACTTTAGGATCAGTAGGAAAGGTAAGAGTGTCAAAGAGGATAGCACTTTTTGATCCCGATTCAGAATTTTAAAACTGTTCAGTACTTCAACTTTTGAGAGATCCAGTAAATAAATTCCTTGCATAAGAAGTGCTTTTCGATAACAAGTATGCTTAATATGTTCCCCTTGTAGGGAAAGATTTTGTAATTGTTGTGACTTCGCAACGTTAATAGTAACCTTCATTGGTCTTACACGATACAGTACAATAATAGGAATGAAATGAATAATACACGATAAGGATACCAAACGGTCTTGTCGCTCGTACTATTGAACTGTCGTATTGCCGCTTCTCGGCCGTTAAACCGTTGTCAAATTGAGTGTCTGACAATATGTCGTTTTGAATGCTTGCCCGAGCTGCCCGATTGAGTGACTGAGCGATCTGTCGGATTGCTCGAGCTTTTTGATCTGGTAAACGAGCTAGGATAACTGAAGGAGCTGGGATGACTGATCCTAGCTCCTTTATAGTTGGAATGATTTGACATTCCAGACAGATTGATTCAACTACCAAACTAGAAGTTCTCAACGATGTTGCGACATTTGCGCATAATTTCTTTACAACATTCCGAC